TTAGTAGAGACGGGGTTTCACCATGTCTCTACTAAAAATACAAAAAATTAGCTGGGCATGGTGGTGCGTGCCTGTAATCCCAGCTACTCAGGAGGCTGAGGCAGGAGAATTGCCTGAACCCAGGAGACGGAGGTTGCGGTGAGCCGAGATCGCGCCATTGCGCTCCAGCCTGGGTAACAAGAGCGAAACTCCGTCTCAAAAAAAAAAATAAATAAATAAATAAATAAATGGTCATCTTTGTTATTGTAAAAATCTGGAAATGGAATCTTTAATACACACTACATAGTGCTTTTCACCATTTTTGCAACATCACTGGTAATCATAATGGAATTAAGGGTATTGTATTGTATTACATAGTCACATGGTAACTCCTAAAAGCTTATTTGCTTTCAAAATATGCAATAAACCATTGGTTTGGCGAATAGTTCACTCCAGCAAGTTTGGTTAGAGAATAGTCAGGAAAAACAAAAAAATTGACCTGAGGTCACCAACTTTTCCTTTTGAAAATAAAGTTAAAGAACTATAGGTTTGCCTTAATAAAAGATCCAGTATTTAATTTTTAAATCAAGTCGCTGATCTATTTCATTGTATTTTCTGTAAAAAACTACTCCTGTAGTTCTCCAAGATAATATAATTTTTTTTCTCTCATAACTATGGAAAAGAAAGGAGATTCAGAGTTTTGTAATCCAACTTCCAGTATACATACAGGTAGCAACTTCCAGACTTTGAAATGTAAATACCAAAAATGTTACAAATCTAATATTTGTATTTATCACATTCGCTGCCTTTTCAAATGGCTGATACATGGCTTTAGTTGGATTACTAGAACAGTAGAAGGTGGAGAAAATACCCCTCCATACCTTTCTGGAAAAACAAGAAATTAGCTACTTTTGCAAAACGCCGTGTGGCTGAAATTGATCCTGGATCCTGCATCCGGTGGAGAAAGCCCAGCAGCTCCTGAGACTGCTGGAATCTGGGAGTGTTCGCTCACCTTCTGATCACTCACCCCAGTTCACCCCAAATTCGCAGGCTCACAGGAAATGCGCTCTCCTTTCAAGAATCAACCAACAGCCCTCTTCCGATCTATTTTTGAGAATGGGAGAATTGCAAGCCCCCAAATGTCCCCGTCCCTTTCCAGGACACTCTTCGCCAGCCTGGGCTCAAGCCTCGGCTCTCCGCCTGCAGCAAGGAGGACGGTCACACGCTAGCCGGCACAACCAAGCGGGCCGCAGCCAGGGAGGAGAGAGACACTTGTGCGGAGCGTTACCTCCTCACCCCAGTACTTCTTTAAAAGCCTGAAACCTGCTGTCCGTGCCTTCCTTTTCTGGGAACACAGGAAACACTTGCCCGAGGCGCTTCCCCGACCTCTCCGGTGAGGGCCGCGCTGCCCCATGGCTTCCACTGGCCGCGGGTCCCTCACCACTCTCTTCCCCAACCAAAAGGCCCCTCCTTTCCTCAACCTGGTGGCAGTCCACCACCCCGGCATTCCCTTCTACCCACAGTGACTCCTGAGCCCAAAGCCGAGCTACAGAACGCCGCGGATCCGGGCAGCGCCGTCACCGGCGGAGGGAAGTCGCGGCTCCGGTCCAGGTTCGGGCCCTCGGCCAGTTTCAGGCAGAAGCAACGCGGGTGGGTGGGGTGGTGAGCTTCCAGAAGGGCATTCAGTCCCTGGACCCCAGCCCCGAGGGCGAGGAGGCTGGCCAGAAAGGCCATCAACAGTCCAGCAGCTCAGCAGCCGCCCTGCGCCTCGGAGCACCTCCTGGGCCCCCCTAGGCCCTACGGCGCTGCCTGGCACCGCCGCCCGGCGTCCCCGGAGTCCCTGGTGGGCGACACGCCCCTGTCTACTTCCCTACTTGTACGAGCGGAGCGGCCGTGCGGCCTCTCCCGGGTCCGTCGGTCTCGGCAACTTCACACGGCCACCATCACCACCCAGGCCCCGGCTTGCGATGTGCAAACAAGGGCTGGAGAATGTGCACCCGGGGGCAGGGACTGAAAGCGTTCAAGTTCACAAGGAAAGAATCCAAAGGCGCTTCCAACATTCCTCTGTGTTTTGCCCCCAGATCTTACTTTGACTTAAAGACGGTGGTAAGGCAAAGTCAAAAACAGAGCAGGGGTTGGCCAATTTCGAGGAAGTGGGTAGTGGATCTCTCTTTTCCTCCCTCTGGCTACTTCTCTACCTCCAGACTGGCAAGAGTTGAGGAGCTCCGAGATTGGGGGACCGCGGGAAAGAGCGAAGAAAGAAAAAAGCCCTACCTGCCCGGCCGGGAGCTTCCGCGCGCGCTCCCCTGGGCGCCCCCGGAGCTGCAGGGGCGACGAAGCCTCTCGCGGCCTCTGGGCCGGCAGCCTCTGAGTACCCAGCTCGCAGCTCGGGTCCACGGCCCAGCGCGTCGGCCCGCGGGCGCTGACTGGCCTGTGGGAGTCACGTGCAAGGGCGGGGCGGGGGAGCGCAGCACCGGCTGCACCTCTGTTGGGCGCCCGGCTGCGGGACCGTGCGGAAAGCTCCCCCACCAGGCAAAGTCCAGGCGCTGGGGTCTCCGCGGAAAACGCCAAAGTGTTACCGCCAGGGCTCGAGGCTTCACCCGCAGCCCAGCCAGGGGTCGATTGGGTTCGCTGTGGTGCCCAGGGTCAGCTTTATTAACGAGTTCCTTTTCCCCCTCCCCGCCCCGCTTCCAGTGGTCCTCATTCCGCGCGGTGGGCGAGGGGCGGGGCTAGCAGAGGGGAAGGTGACCTCTTGGGCTCAACTCCCGATCTCGTGTGGGGTACTGGGTCACCCGGGGTACCCGGGGCAGGACGCAAGTTTCTGGGCAGGGGTAATGGGGATCCACCCAGCACCGGACTCCGGGGAGGTTCAGGAGACACCCAGACTGCCTCCTTAAATCTGTGCGCAGAGACCGAAGCCTCCCTTTTGCCTTCCCAAAAGCCCAGGGAGATGATCGGGAGCCGAGGGTCAGCCCTCTGTTTATGTGTTTACGCAAAGTGTGCATCCCTTCCTGGGGACGCTTCTCATCTCCGGTGGCCTCCTGTCTTTTAATCTTTCTCCGTTTTTTCTGCAGCCTGCGGCGGCCGCTGCACCAATCCAAGGGACATAGCAAGGGCCGGGGAGCCCGGCGGTCCGGGGGCGCTCCTCCGTGAAGGGGGTTCTCCAGGGGCTGCAGTCCCCTCTCCGGAATGGGGGAGGGGAATGTGTCAGGCCTGAGTTGAGAGTCGGCGTCAGGGCCTGGAGGCCCCTGCGCAGCGGGGCTGCCAACCGGAGAGTCCCTCCGACAGGTCTAAAGGTTAATAGAGCAATCACAGGGCCCTATTACCGCGTAAAAATAACCCATCGATTACCGCAGCCTTCAGCCCCAGATAACAGCCGGCGGGTGGCTCCCAGGCTTTCGGTTAAACTTTTTTTTTTCGACCGCGTTTTTCTCTCCAGCAGAGGCTTCTCAAACCAGATTAGAGGGATGGGGGAGGGGTCGGGATACCACCCTGCACGAAACCCGTGTTGCTTCGAAAGCAGACTAGGGACGCCACCAGCTTCCGCAGCTGGAAATCAGTCGTGGATTCCCGGCCTGAGTGAAGGCAACCCGGGCTCTAAGGACAAGGCCGGGACTCGAAGCTGGGTAGAAGGAAACTCCCGGTGGGATCGTGGCCAACTCCCGGGGATTCTCAGGAAAATCCCAGAGGAAGAAACCAGCGCAGCTGCGCGGGGAATTCTCTTCTCTGAATGAGAGGTGCGGAGGCTCACCGGAGCCCAAACAGCGGAGAGGAAACTGAGGCCGCGTGGGCGCCCAGCGGCGAAAGGCCTGCGCGCAGGCTGGACGCACTGCAGCCTTCCCTCGAGACCCCGACCGGCCTGCGCCCCGGAAGCTGGGGCCGTCCATTTAGGGTTTCTTCTCCGACTTCCCCCAACTTCTAGCCTGCTCCTTAGTAGAGCTGGCGTCACGGTCCCGAGACGTGGGAACTTAAGGCTGAAGGGGTCTTGGGGATCTCGGAGGCCGGCGCTGGGGAAAAGCGGTCCCCGGAGCACTCCAATCTGCGATCCTTCGGACGCCTAGGAGAAGGAAGCAGACCCTTGCTCCGGATTTGAAACCCGCTCTCATCCTCGTGGGGGTGAGCGAGAGAGGCTCGAAGCCAAGGCCTGCGGCAGGGGCCTGCAAGGCCTTTCTGGAGAGTGGGAAGTCTGGGCCTGGGCGAGTGGGAAGCTGCCCTGGCCTCTGCTTTCTCTGAGGAAATCTTTGGCTCCAGCGCTGCCGAGTTCCCAGTCCCAGAGCTACCACCCGCGCGCGACCATCAAAGGGCGAAAACAGCTGAGTCTGAGGGGCCAGGCAGTGAATTTTCTTAGCAACAAGCCAGGGGCTTGGGCTTAGTGTCTGACGGGGCGCCATCTGAGCGTCCTCCCGACACCCAAGGACACCGGCCGCTCTCGACGCGGGCTTCTCCGAGCAGTGCGGGCTGGGCCACAGCGGGAGGTGCGGGGTCTTACTGCGAGCCTTCACCCTCGTCATCCTCGCCCTCCCTAAACTTCAATCCCCTCCTCTGTACACTGGTGGAGCTATAACAGGCTGTGTTGTCGGTGGCTGATGCCACACCGCTGGGCGGAATCGCCTGCTTTTGCTGGGTGCTTGCTGGCGAGGAACCCCAGATTCCCTGCTCCCCCGCTTCTGCCAGCCCCGGGCCACCACCCCTACCACCTCCCACCACCCCGGCCCTTTACCCACACCTTCCGCTGGCACTCCTAGTGGGCTGAAACCTGGGCTTCCCTGACCCAGGAATATTCACTGTCTCTGGAAGGCGCCTGGGACAGAAAATTTTGTTTCCTGAGGCTTCTTCCTCTAGGTGCAGCGCCCCAACTTTCTCCCCAAGGTCTCCGCTCAAGGACAGACCAGGGGTTGGCAAGCGGCCTGCTCTTTTGAGGCTGTTTCCTTTACCCTCCTTTCCTCCTTTGCTCCCCCCCTCCCTCCCTTAGGCCAAGCGGGAGCCGGCAGGTTGGCTGCACGTTGCCAGGAGCGGGGAGCATTTCAAGGCCTCGCTGGCCTGCCGGCTGGAGGAGGTTTATCGGCTGCCTCTCTCGGTTCCCAGGCTTTTCTCTCAATCCCGAGGCCGCTGGGAAGGGGGGCTGCGGGTGGAGGCTCTGAGGTCCGGCCTCTGGGCTATTTTTAAGGAAAATATGCCTGGGCTGGCCTGGGTAGAGTGGCCCAATCCCTATTCACGTCCTCTCTGGGCTTTCCTTTCCCATAGTCTAGGAAAAGAATTTAACTGTGAACGTCTTTGACCACCTTTTCTTCCCCCCCTCCCAAAAGCCTGGGTCTAATGACCCAGCGTCAGATCATCAGATTTTAGACAAATAAGAATTACTTAGCTGTACTGTACTCTTTAAAAAAAAAATCTCCAAGACAAGAGTAAATTACATCACCCTATCCCGTTAAGGATTGTGGGACTTGAGCTGGTCCAAACCCTAGAAGAAGCAAATTGTAGGCTGTGCATCATGTACAGAGGAATCTAAACTCTGGTTTCCCTCAAAATAAAAATAAACAGTGGATGCCGGAACTTGCAGTGAAACCATTGATGGTTTCCTAGTGTCGAGTTCCTGCGACTTTTTGGTGGGATGTGTCCGAGTTTGCTTTAAACCAAGTGCAACGTCTGAGACCATGATCTTGGCCGCTGCACCGCAACGAAAGCAACATCTGAAAAAAATTGGAGCCACCAAGGTTCCCAGAGTCTTATAATCGAAAACCAGAAATCCCCAGAGCGGGGACAACAGAAGTCAACCCTCGTTCTATGGAACGAATTCCTCCAAGATATGGACGCGCCTCTGCGGACCTGTCTGCGAGAGTTCCAGGCGGACCTTCAAGGTGACCCGCACCGAACGAATGCCGGGTCGGCCCCTACGCGGCCCTGGCTTCCCGCGCCGGGTCTGGGCGCCCGTCTGCGAGTCTCCTTCCCTGGGCGGCTCTAGGTCCTCATCTTCGCGGTCCGCGGTGCCCTGAACGAGCCGCCGCGGGCGCGGCGCCGAGAACTAGGGTGCAGAGCGGGACGCGTCCCTGCTGAAGGAAAAGTAGTGAACGAATTCAGCTGCAAGGCCACGTAGACCTACCTTCCTTCACGTCCGAAGGTCCGTGCCTCGGACACTCAGAATTCTTGGGGATGAGGGGTGGACGTAGAGCCCCCCGCCCTGTTTCCCCGGGAACCGTGCTCTGCACCCGGTTACAGATGACGGGAGAGGAAGGAGCAGCGCTTGTTAATGGTCTTGCTTTCGAAATTACTACTCTGAGTTGCAAAGCGAATACATGCTCTCCCTTCAGACTTCTGCAAGTGCTTCCGGGCGCTTCCAGCCCTGTGGCCCAGAGTTTGTGGCACACCCCCTCATATTTTATAGTCATTTCCAGATTACACAACACTTTCAAATCTCTTTTTTCTCTAGGGAACAACAAAATCATTAGCAAGAAGGAGGGAGAGAAGGTGTTATCGCCCTCACCTTACAAACCAGCACACGGAGGCTCAGAGAGGTTAAGGCATTTGTCCGAGGTGGCAAAGCAAGGGCGAAACTGCAGGCCTAGAACCGGCAACCCTAAATCTTAGTTATTTTTTTCCATTCTATTTAATATTGGCTTTCTATCATGAAAAACTCTTTTTTAAAAACTGTCTTTTAAGAATTTTTCTAAGTTTCCTTTAATGAGATGGTTGACATTTAAAAAATAAAATCAATGTTTAAAAAGTTTATATCTTGCCGGGCGCGGTGGCTCAAGCCTGTAATCCCAGCACTTTGGGAGGCCGAGGCGGGTGGATCACGAGGTCAAGAGATCAAGACCATCCTGGTCAACATGGTGAAACCCCGTCTCTACTAAAACTACAAAAAATTATCTGGGCATGGTGGCACGTGCCTGTAGTCCCAGCTACTCAGGAGGCTGAGGCAGGAGAATTGCCTGAACCCGGGAGGCAGAGGTTGTGGTGAGCCGAGATTGCGCCATTGCACTCCAGCCTGGGCAACAAGAGCGAAACTCCGTCTCAAAAAAAAAAAAAAAGTTTTTATCTCATAATCTAAGAGCCCACAGGAAGGGGAAAACAAGTGAAAAGGAATCTCTTAACATTTTTGCTGAGTTCAAGACAGATGCCAGAGACTTTTCGAATAGGGAGGGCCTCTTCAGGTCCAGGGTAGCTGAGGCCAGGACTGAAGCCTGCTCCCGGTGCCTGCAAGTCTAGGCAGGGGCTCCAGCAGGTTGAGGGGCACCAGCGCTAGAGACAGTGCCCACACCAGTGCCTCCAAGTATGCTACTTCTCCTGCTGCCAACCTGGCTCCCTCTCTCCCTCCTCATCCAAGGACCTGGGGACAACAGCAGCCCAAAAGAGTGGCCAACACCTACTGCTCAGGCCA